ATTAGTTTTAAATTTTTTATTAATTTTTAATTTGTGTGTATATGTGTTTGTACGTGCACACATGCATTTGTGTGTAAACACAGACACTTAAAGTGTGAGTGTGGAAGTCAGAGGGTAGTTCTCAGAATCTATCCTCTCCTGTCACTGTGGGATCCTGGAGTTGGTCTCAGAGCCTCAGGTCTGTCTGTATCTCTTGCCAGTGAGACATCTTGCTGGCTGTGATATAAGTTTTTAGTACATCTGCTGTTGTTACTAAAAACAGAAGTTGATCAGGTAATATGGCAGTTTAGAAGCCACGCTAGAACTAGCAAATGATTATAGTTGGGGAAACAAAGGGAACGTGATTATTTCATCACTCCATCAGCTGCTTCTCCAGTCCCTAGAATATAACTACTCAATATTCCAGTATCCACGGTGTCAGCACTCATTGCAAACAATAGTCTGAAGATATTTAATGGAAAATCCCAGATACAAGTCATTCATAAGTTCTAAGTGTCATTTTAAGTAGCATGATAAAATACTGTGTCTTTTCATTCTTTCTTGTTTGAGACATGAATAACTTTGTCCAACATGTCCATATTGGACACGCTACCCACTAATTAACATCTTGGCTATCAGACAAACAGTCACAGCATCTGAATGCTAGTGTTCATATAACACTTACTGAATTTTTTTATTTGAGAAAAATTAGAGTGTTTGGACATTTATATGTCTTTTCATCTAGGCCTTAATTTCTTTTATGTGGTTGTATTTGTAGAATTTCTGTTCTGACAATTCTAATTCCTGTCATAAAGGAAAGTGTTTTAAACTACATAATAGTTATATTAGAATTTTTACTTAAAAATTAAGGAAACCACAGTCTCCATTTCACATTTAATTTAATTATTTTTCCCATTTTTTATTAAGAAATTTTCTACTAACCCTACATACCATCCACAGGTCCCACCTCCTCCCTCCTCCCACCCCGGCCCTCCCTCCCAAGCCACTGCTTATCCCCACATCCTCCAAATAAAAGTCTCCATGGAGAGCCAGCAGAGCCTGGCACACCCAGCAGAGGCAGGTCCAAGCCACTCCCGGCCTCACCAAGGCTGCGCAAGGTGCCACAAAGCAAGCACTGGGCTCCCAAAAGCCTGACCATGCACCAGGGACCAATACCCAGTCCCCCTCCCGGGTGTCCCCCAAAGAGTTCAAGCTAAACAACTTTCCCCCATATCCAGAGGGCCTACTCTAGTCCCATGGGGGCTCCAAAGCCACTAGTCCACAATTCATGGGTCTCCACCAATATGAACAGTCATCTCTGCATGTCTTCCCATCATGATCTCACTGTCCACCCCCATCCGCTGAATCCCTCCTCTCTCCACCCGACTGGAATCCCGGGGCTCAGCCTGGTGCCTGGCTGTGGAATCCTGCATCTGCCTCAATTAGTCCCTGGGAAAAGGTCCTATTATCACTGTTAGGATATTCACTAGACCGGTCACTGAAGTAGACCAGTCCAGGCACCCACTGCATCACTGCCAGAAGTCCAAGCTGTGGTCATCCCTGTGGATTCCTGAGAGCTTCCCCGGCACCCTGCCTCTACCCATTCCCATGATGTAGGGCAAGGGATGGCAGACTGCAGCCCACAGCTGGAGAGGCTAGCTGACAGGGAGGGACACATGGATTGTCCAGCACAGGAGAAGTGGGTGGGATCTGCATGAGGCGGCTGAGGGTGGGGGCAGTGGCTGAGGGCAAGGAATGAGGGGTGAGAACAAAGGGAAATGGGAGGGTCCAGCTGGAGCAGGGAGGGAGTGGGAGATCAGGAAAAGGGATACCATGATGACTTGAAACTTTAAAGGACTTCACGAATAAGAAAATTATCTCTGGCAGAAATGAATCCTATAGTTACATATTATTAAATAGAAACTATGCCTTATATGAAAATCAAAATATGGATGAATAGACTAGTATATCATCTTTTTTGGAAAATTCAAAATTACTGATTGTGTTCTCTTGGAATTGAGGTTTAAATTTTTCTCCAAATGGACTTCTCTTTCTATTTAATAATGTTATTTTGTATGCTGTGGTGTTCTGTGGGTTTTGCTGTTTATACAATATTTTGATTAACTTTTTGAATATATAATCTCTCATATTTACATCATACTCACCACCAAGTCCTCCCAGATCCAGCCCTTACCTCACCTCCAGCATTTTATCCTCTGTATTTTATGTAAGCTACTATGCCATATATGTTGCCCATATACTACTGGATATGTGGTCATTTACTATAACATGGTTGATCTAGCAGGTGCCATACCTTTAATAAAACCTGATTCTCCTTCTGGAGGCTGTCACAGTTCAGTAGCTTCCCAGCCATGGGGATTAAGGAGCCGCTCCCATCTCCATTCTTGGTTAAATGCATTGCTCATCTACAGGCTTTGTTCTGGCAAACAGAGTTTGTATTAATTCATGAGTACAGCAATCCTATTTTGTACAGAAGATATTGCTTTGATGAGGTGGTCCATAACCTCTGATTCTTGAAAACCTGTTCTTATCTTCTGTCATGGTGGTCCCTGAGCCTATGTCAGTGGGTTGATATATTTTTCCAAATGTGACTGACCATTCTACTGACACTCACTCTCTG